CATATTTTTAAGTATCAATAATATACACACAGTACTTTACTGTGAAGTAAAACTATGGCAACTTAACGTGAGATATTAAACGGCTGCGATGCTATTTACAAAAGGGTGTTGTGCAAAAAAAGATTGGGAACCGATGATCTGACAAAAAGTATAAAATGTCGGTATGTACGTAGTTCTTACATAAAATATTTCTCAGTGTTAGGTAAAAACGAATTCCAGTAAATACAACTACTTTACAGCTATGCACTGTGGCGACTTGCCCGCTATTGAAAATGGTAATTGGTTGAGTGCTTGTGAGCGAGACGCCACAGCTAGATGGTGTGTTTTCGAGTGTAATGAAGGATACATCGCTGAGAAGCCAACATTTGTTTTTCTGTTTGTTTGATGGCGTCAAACACAGATGGACAAGTCCTGGGGGCTGTGCCCGAGGTTAGCTTTTACACAGACATGTTGTCTTATTGGTTAGAAAATATATGTGATTTTACACAGTCATGTTGTCTTGTTGTTTTAAATGTCTGTGATTTTACATAGTGATGCTGTCTTATTGGTTTGAAAGTGTATGTGTTTTCGCATAGACATAGTTGTCTCATGGGTTTAAAAATATGTGTGATTTTACATTGTGATGTTGTCTTATTGGTTTGACACATGACATTTCACACATGAAATTTAGGCTTTATACTTGAAGGCTAGAATCGTATGCATACTGAAAGTAATAAATCCTTCAAATACAAACACTTCCCAAATTACTTTTTGTATATATATATATATGTATATATATATATATATATATACATATATATATATATATATATATATGCATCCCGTGCTCCGCCACGGTAAATCGTTTTTTAAATGTACCAACTTGGGAACAGGACAAAACTAAACACAACACAAACGAACGCAAAAAAAAACACAAACGAAAAACAAACACAACACTCTTCACATAAACACAATTTAAATGCAATCATAAAGGCATATTGCTCACAGTCTAGCCCGTAGCGCCAAATCGCGCCCTATCCGGTGATTTGCAACCCCCTCAAACTTTCGATTTGCACCCCTGTCCCCCCCCCCCCCCCCCCGCCCTAAAACTTTCGATTTCCACCACCCCCCTCTCGCAAATTTTTTCCAACCCACTTTGGCGCCCCCTAAGGTTGGCACCCGGGGACATATGCCCCCCCCCCCTCGCTACGCCTCTCCTATAAAACTCCTAGCTTGTCCGCAAACCGAAAGATAGAATAATAATTAGTAAACAGTATAAATAATAGGCAGTATTTAAAATATCCTTGTTTTACCTACAATATTTCACTTTATCCATTCACGCATTTTTTCCCAGTACTTTAAATTTTAAAAATTTACAATAGAGTTTCATAACTAAAACCATTGCGCACCGAAAGAACGTGATGACGCGTCTATAATAGTGCTTAATAGTTGATTAAAAATTATAATTAGTAAACAGTACATTCAGTGAATAAAATAAATAAAAAATAGCCTTTTATCAATCAATGCTAATTATAATATTCCAACAATAATGTACTCTTACACGTCTGCATAATTTGCATTCACATTTTGCTAATTATATTATTCCAACAATTATTCCGTCTTGCAGATTTTGCATTCACATTTTTAGCGTGAGTTCAATTTATTTTTTAAAATACCTCCCTTGGCAAAATTATTAAACAGTTTAATTAGATTTTTCTAACCTACAGCTATTATGTTATTAAAATGTATCCACTTTCTCTAGGAATATTAACGAAAACTATATTTGACATTGATCCTTTTAATATGTTTTAGCAATCTGCGTGTATTTAATATTCTCTTTACGTTATGCAAAATTGTACAAACAGTGGAAATTATAAAATAGCTCTATGCCACTATATAAACAAACCCTACTCTAATACTAATAATAAGACACTGCGGTGCACTGAAAAGCACAGAATGGTGCGTAGTTTACTTTTATAGTCCCAAAATCTATAGCGATGACGGACGGACGGAAGGAAGGAAGGAAGGAAGGAAGGAAGGAAGGAAGGAAGGACAGACACAGCCCGCTTATATAATTACTAGCTGTATCCCGTGCTCCGCCACGGTAAATCATTTTTAAATATACCAACTTTGGAACAGAACAAAACTAAACACAACACAAACGAACAAACGCAAAAAAAAAAAAAAAAAAACAACGAAAAAACGAACACAACACTCATAACATAAACACAATTTAAATGCAATCATAAAGGCATATTGCTCACAGTCTAGCCCGTAGCGCCAAATCGCGCCCTTTCCGAGTCCCGGCGGACGCGTCTGACACAGTGAATGACTACAAAACAGAGGCGTTGCGACCCTTTCCGGCGCCCGGGGACAAACTTTCGATTTGACCCTCCCTCAAACTTACGATTTGCACCCCCTCCCCTCAAAATTTCAATTTCCACCCATCCCCTCAGACTTTCGATTTGCACCACTTTTGTTTGAAATTCCCCCCGCTCAAACTTTTGATTTGCACCCCCTCAAACTTTCGATTTGCACCCTACCCCCCTCCCCCTCCCTAAAACTTTCGATTTCCACCCCCCCCCTAGCTACGCCTCTCCTATAAAACCCCAGCTTGTCCGCAAACCGAAAGATAGAATAATAATAAATAATATACAATAAAAAATAGGCAATATCTATAATATCCGTGTTTACCTACCATATATCACTTTATCAATTCACGCATTTTTTTCCCAGTATTTTAATTTTAAAAATTTACAATTGAGTTTCATAACTAAAACCATTGCGCACCCAATGTCTATAATGGTGCGGAATAGTTGATTAAAAATTATAATTAGTAAACAGTACATTCAGTGAATAAAAAGAAATAAAAGATAGCCTTTTATCAATCAATGTGCTAATAATAATATTCCAACAATAATGTACTCTTACACGTCAGCATAATTTGCATTCACATTTTGCTAATTATATTATTCCAACAATTATTCCGTCTTGCAGATTTTGCATTCACATTTTTAGCGTGAGTTCAATTTATCTTTGAATTACCTCCATTGGCAAAATTACTAAGCAGTTTAATTAGATTTTTCTACCGTACTGTTATTATGTTATAAAAATGTATCCACTTTTTCTGGGAATATTAACGAAAACGATATTTGACATTGATCCTTTTAATATGTTTTAGCAATGTGCGTGTATTTAATATTCTCTTTACGTTATGCAAAATTGTACAAACAGTGGAAATTATAAAATAGCTCTATGCCGCTATATAAACAAACCCTACTCTAATAGTTATAATAAGACACTGCGGTGCACTGAAAAGCACAGCATGGTGCGTAGTTTACTTTTATAGTCCCAAAATCTATAGCGATGACGGACGGACGGACGGACGGACGGAAGGAAGGAAGGACAGACACAGCCCGCTTATATTATAGATTATATTATAGATATTGCACGGGATGCAGCTAGTTTAAAATATCCGTGTTTTACCTACAATATTTCACTTTATCCAATCACGCATTTTTTTTCCAGTACTTTAAATTTTAAAAATTTACAATAGAGTTTCATAACTAAAACCATTGCGCACCTAATGAACGTGATGACGCGTCTATAATAGTGCTGAATAGTTGATTAAAAATTATAAGTGATAAACAGAAGGGCCTACATTCAGTGAATAAAATAAATAAAAGATTGCCTTTTATCAATCCATGCTAATTATAATTTTCTAACAATAATTTCCTCTTACACATCCACATAATTTGCATTCACATTTTGCTAATTATATTATTGCAACACTATTTCCTTCTATGACGAACGTATATTTGCTTTCACATTTTTTATTAGCGTGAGTTTAATGTATTTTTAAATTACCTCCTTTGTCAAAATTAGAAAAGAGTTAAATTCATTTGATTTTTCTAACCTACAGTTATTATGTTAATAAAATGTATCCACTTTTTCTGGGAATATTAAAGAATGTTTACTTTTATGGTTCCAATAGCTATAGCGATGACGGAAGGAAGGAAGGAAGGAAGGAAGGAAGGAAGGAAGGAAGGAAGGAAGGAAGGAAGGAAGGACAGACACAGCCCGCTTATATTATATATATATATATATATATATATATATATATATATATATATATATATATATATATATATATATATATATATATATATATATATATATATACATAGATTAGTAAGTTAGGTGGCATAATTTCATTATAGGAGGAAGTATCGAAAAGGATAGAAGCATGCTTTTTTGACTTTCAATTTTTCAAACCAACCTAAAAATGCTAACGTTAATGTTTCACGCGTTTAACGTACATTAAAATGAGCGTAATTAAATCCTTTATCGATTGATATCATTGTTAACGTAAGACAAAATTTATACGGATAATAAACTTTAAAAAAAAAAAGCTAAAGCTCCTTACAGCCGACAATTTGATAGTTTTGATTATTTCCCTTGGTTTAATTTCTGCAGTAGAAACAATACTTCTCTACGCGCTAAAAAAACGACGCGGCTATATAGACAAAGGTTTCTATTTTTGGCAGACCATGCTTGTTAAAATATTAAGAATATAGATTTAACGTGAACAAGCAGACAATTATCAGCAGTGTTTTAAAGATCATAGATGAACTTAAATAATTTTAGTGCAACATTTAAATTAACTATAGCCAAATAAAATAATGAAATACAAATTACAACTCATTAAAAGTTAGAGAACTAAAACATGTAACCAAGTAAATATGCGGAGCCTATGTTTGTCGCTTATAATTTAGGTCGAGTTTGATTGACTTCTTTCTTAAGAACTCATTGTACAAGAAAGTAAACACTATACCATTTAGGCCAAAAAATTAACTAAATCAATCGAACCATGACGAATATTCGCTACAAGGGGGTGGGGAATTTGGGAGAAAGTAAGAGAAAAGGGGGCGAGTCGAATTTTTAAACAATGTTGGCTAAAGCTGTTTTAAATATTTAGACAGCGTAGCTATTTTTTATTTTAAGAAAAATATTATCTAAAATGATGAAAAGTTTTAAATCGAATTAAGGTGTAAATGTAGTTGTAGATTTAGGTGTAGGGCTTGATGTAGATACAAGTGAGCTTGTAAATGTAGAAAATAGTGAAAACAAAGATGTAATTGATGTTGTTTTTCTAGCTGTAAAGTTGCGAATGTAAGTGTAGGGGTCGATGTATGGATAATACGTAATGCGATAAGTATGCGTGTGGGTGCGGGAAAGTCACGAATTTGTGTGTATTTTTAGCGCAATTTCCATTCTGGAGAATTGCGTTTATTAATTCTGGATGGATGAATGGATGAATGAATGAATGAATGTATGAATGTGTGTCCACAGCTTTAAGTCGTATCTTCTCCTCAACGAAGCAATATCGAGGACTAGTTTCAAAAGTAATTATGTTAAACAAGTTACGGGGATGAACAAAGGCCATAAAAATTCCGGGTTTCTTTCATGGATTTCCCGGAAAAGCCAAAAAAAAAAAAATGCTGTTTTTGGCCCATATCTCGGCAACCAGACCATTTAGCGACTTGAAACATGTACCAATCGATTCCTGCCATAATTTAGAACAATATTGCCGAAGAAAGTTTTCAAAAATATCCTTTCGTTCGGTCACAAATTTTTTTTTGAATTAATTAAAATTTGGACCGAATTAGTAGCATTTTTATCCAACCACGCCACACGCGTCATCACGTTCAATAGCTGCACCATCACGTTCAATGGCTGCGTCATCACGTTCAGTAGCTAGGCGCGCAATGGTTTTTAGTCATGTTACTATATTGTAAATAAAACATGTATTTTAACCAATGGTTTTACTAACCCTGCTCTTGATTTACGCTACGACAGAGCTATTTTTAGATAAGATAAGGAAATTGCGCTTAAATGTCACTAGACTTTTTAATTAACTTGTTTAACTTAACTGTATTAAATTTCCGTGTGTCTATTACATCCTAATATATAAATCCCCACGTTCGCACATCTCTCTCTCTCTCTCTCTCTCTCTGTCCGCAAAATATTTTCGCCGGACATCACGTCAGAATCGGCAGCGATATATGAAGAACTTTTTACGGACTTTTGTTGAAAATAATATGTTAGATGTTTTAAATGTATAACCACAATTTTAGTTAAAGAAGAAAAATAAAAATTAAAGGCGTATTCGAATGTAGAGAAACAGTATTATTTATGCAACCGGAAAAGCATTAATATATGTGAAAAAGAACGCATAAAACTGTGACGTCACTATTGCTTATACATTAACTAATGACGTCATCTGCCGTGTTTAGAATGAAAAGAAATGAACTATTTCATTCAAATTTGATTTAGATCTACGTACACTATGAAATGTATACAATACAATTTTTCCGGCCTAAACTCATAAAATTTATTTTATGTATTTGGATTCTAGATCTAGAGATTCTAGATCTAGACTAAATCTAAATCTAAATCCACGCAATAACTAGATCTAGACGTAGACGCTAAGATTTAGATTTAGACTCTAACTTCTCTAAAATCAATTCCAAAAAAAAATTTCTATATTAGGACTAAACTATTTCAAGACTTATTTATTTTATACAAAATCTTTGTTATGAACTGGCTAATTTGGGATAAAAAATTAATTAAGTTAAGATTTTAAAATACGTGTTTCATTCTCCGTATTTTATAAGGTGCCTAAATAGCGGAGATGTTAGTGTACATTAAACCACGCAGGTGGTGCGGGTTCGAGACACAGCAAGTCAACTTGGTTAATGTATTCTTTTTTATTATGCTCGGGCTAAACTTAAAAAAAAATTCTTTTAGGAATCTAGCTCTAGATCTAGATTGTCGGGTGTCCGATAGGGCACTTCCCGGCGCCGCAGGCGCTTCAAATTTGGCATGATCTTGCCTTGGTGCCACAGAACACGGGGGCCGGTTGGCCGAAAAGTCTACGATGTGGGGGTCAAAACTGACCTCGACTGACCGGTACCTTATATGAGCTATAAATCGAAAAAAAATGTCCACGGAGGAACCTCTTCATAACTCTTGAGGTCGTAGACCGACCTTCGGGCGAATTAATTAAGCATTCAAATTCTCAATGTTTTCGAAAGCCTAAGCGAAGCTGGGCAGCATGCCTAGTATAGTAATAAACCGGGAGTGATCTCCCCTAAACTTTCTGGAATATTCTTATATAAAACAACAGGGGAAGGGAACTAGGGCTATAGACATGATTTCTAATCCATTTTAAATACTAAAAGTTTCAAAAATAGAATAAAATCTCGTAGACAAAAGAATTGCACACCAAGTGAACGCCAAATAAAAAAAGTGCATACTAGTGCGCAATATTATTAGTACTTAAAAATGTACATTAGTTTTTACTTTCTCGTATATATAGGAAGTATAAAGAAAGTATTGTAATCGTGCAAAAAAAAATCGAGATTTTTACAAATCTCGAAGTTTTACACCTCACTGATACGGAAAAAAATAATTTTGCAATCTGTCCGTATGTCTGTGTGTCTGTGTGTGTGTGTGTGTCCGTGTGTCTGTGTGTAAACACGATAACTTGAGCACCGTTACAGCTAGGTTGATGAAATTTCATATATAAGTATTTTATCAAAGTCGTAGATAAGTGTCAACTTTAGAGCGATTTCCGATAACCGGAAGTGGTACTTTTTCTACTTTGAGTAATTTCCGTAGACCGGAAGTACTAATTTACGCTATTTCCGATTTCTCAAAAAATGCATATAAATTTATAAAGTACTCATAATATTGCGCACTATTATGCATATTTTATTAGGCGTTCACTTGGTGTGCAATTCTTTTTTTTTACAAGATTCCATTCTATTATAAAAAGTTTAAGTATTTAAAAATGGATTACAAATATTGTCTATGTCTTGAGTTGCCATCCCTTGTAGTTTTATATTAGAATTGTCGAGAAAGTTTAGGGGAGATCACTCCCGGTTTATTTGAGAAATCGGAAGTAGCGTAAATTGCTACTTGCGGTCAACGGAAATTACTCAAAATTTAACAGAAGGTAGAAAATTAGATCTTTTACTCACATGTGAAACTTCATTTATCTATCTGAAATAGTACTCAAGTTATAGGCTTTTGAAAAATTCAAAGTAGAAAAAGTGCCACTCCCGGTTATCGAAAATCGCTCAAAAGTGCTACCACTTATCACAAAAATGGAAGAAATAGCCAAGTAGTATGCCCCATGTGTCTTGAACACGAACGGAAAAGATGATGAGTCCGAATAATATCCATTTAAGTCCTAAGAGCGCTAACATTAATCACAGCAATAATATAAATGACCAAGAAAAGTATTCGTAAAACAGGGCACAACATATACAGTCGCGTGTTTTAATATTGCGTTAGTATTGGTCACTATAAAATAACCAATCTTTAAACTGAAAGCACCAATGGTGATATTCAAAACCAATCAATGGTTAGTTTTTTCATGATATGGGAGGAGCTACCAAATTCTTTCTGCCTGACATTGTAGAAATAGTTTATCCGATCGCAAAAATAGCCCGCGTAATACCTACTTAACACAAGCCCATTCGGTCGCCTTTCATCTCCGTACCTTTTAGATAATACCCCGCCCATTTATAGCACAGAGGGCATCCTTTCAGAAATTTCGCTAGACGCCTGTATCTGACATTACATAACATTCGTCTGATACGCTTCGCTAGGTTACACGCTTGGTTTTTGAATCTTGAGTTCAAGGACAGATCCCCTCCCCCGGCACTTTGCAGAGAGTTTGTTATTTAAGTTGGCCACATCCCCTCCACCTCGGCCCAAAGTTCCTCCTTTATTAAACACATATCGGGGAGTGGTGATTGTAGGAAAAATTTCACGGGAAAAAAACCACAGAAAACATAAAACATAAAAAATGTCACAGGAAAAAAATGTCACAAATAAATATGTGCAGTGAATTTAATACTTGTATGTATTATATATTCAGAAAGTGCAAATCAACTCACAATTATTTAACTTATTAAATGTGCGTAGGCTGCATACATAAAGTGGTATTAATAACACGTATATATTATCTGTTTGAAGTATGTAAGTTTTATTACCTCTATACATGTAATATTCATCAGATTTTTATAAAAACCCTCATCAGAATGCCTCTTCCAACTCTATACATATAATATTTATTACATTTTAATAGAATGTTCCAACCTTCTTGTTTTTCATTGTGTTATATAAATTTAAATTAAAAACTTTAAATTTGCGCATTAAGACGAAGTTAATGTGATTTGGTGCCCTCAACTCATTGCAACAAAAGGTCAACCACCTGTATTTATATATATATATATATATATATATATATATATATATATATATATATATATATATATATATATATATATATATAATACATTTGTTTAGCTCTATATATTTTCAACATTAAACAAAAAAAGTACAACATTCTTTAAATAGCGTGTGTAGGAAATCATTTATTTAAAATACATTATAATAAGGCATCTCTGCATGATTCTGTATGTTTTTAAATTGACCACTTGTGTTTATCTTTCAGCTTTACAAAAGTCCATCGCACCGCCAATGGTTTTAGGAGGTGATTCGTTTGTTGTTTTATGTGATTCAGACATCGCCGGGGCAGCTGATAATGCAAAAGGACTACACAGCCTTAGATTAACATCGTATTCTATGAATGAATTAAAAACGCTCTTCAGATATGTAATTGGCGATGAAACGTACTCATATTCGGTTAGTTTTTGATTTCTTAAAAACTCAAGCTAGTTTCTTCACGTCAATGTCATCTTACTAATATATATATATATATATATATATATATATATATATATATATATATATATATATATATATATATATATATATATATATATATATATATATATATATAACTATATATATATATATATATATATATATATTGGTATGCTTAATATTTTGTATTTCTTCAAATACAAATATTTGCAGATTTAAACATATATTTAGCCATGTTTGGCACTTTAAAAAAGAGTAATACACATGAGAAAAAAAAAATTGGACTGAATACATAATCTGTTGTTTTTAAATCTGGTCCATTTTCAAATGCCTGACACGTATGTTAAATCTTGTTAAAAATCTAGTGCTTTCAAAATAATTTTAAAAAATAAATACTTCAATTTATGCGTTATCACAAATAAGACCAGGAGCACCCTACACTAGGGACACAGTGGGCCTCTACGTTAGATGATTTAAACCGAACCAGGGGTAGCATCCGGCTACCTAAGGTAGTGTAACCAGTAACCTCCGCGACGTCTGTAGGCGGTCGCCAAAAGGTATTCAACCTCCCTATTATGGAGGATAATTAACGTACACTCAATGCTTTCATACAGCACGCCCAAGGGCGTCTGAGTGGTAGTGTGGACAAACCCGCGACCCAGCAACAAAGATTCGAAAAAAAAAATAGCAGTGGCGATTTTTACATTTCAACTATCTCATTTTTAGCAAGCAAAGTCACACGAATAAAAATACATGAAACCCTTAAAAATTGTTTCGGTACCCTGGTATGTGGTCCTAGATAACTAAATAGCAACAACGCGGACAGGTACGCTAGTTACGTATATATATTCTTCAACATTCCACGGTGATTGGGAAGACATTTTTTTATATTTGTGATGGAATTCTTAAATCTGATTATTTGCTCATTGTAATGCTATTCATTTATTATTAACTAAAATTATAGATATGCTCATTGGGTCTGTAACTTGGCCATCGTAAGTATAGAACATGCAGGAGCAGCTAAAATGAATCTCGAGAAATTTATTAATCATCTTGCAAAGTTAAAAGCATGAGAAAAAGACAGATCTAGCTCAATCAAGAGCAATTTTTAAAAAAAAGTGTGTTTGATTGGTTGCATCACAAGGTCGGTCCCTACTGTTTACTAAAGGTGTCACACCATCGCAGATTAAAATTTAAAAAAAAAAACAATTTCGGACAAATATATAAGCAAACTCCGACAGTTGTAAAATACTGAAGCGAATGAAAAGGTTGATTAATGCATGCAGAAGATGGTGACATAAATATGCATTAATCTACTTGTACTGGTAAGGTTTAAAAATTGTGTGATATATATATATATATATATATATATATATATATATATATATATATATATATATATATATATATATATATATATATATATATATATATATATATATATATATATATATGTCTATCGGCCTTTATAGGCCTATAATTTAAATACATGCCACAAACGCATACATGTATGTTTATAAGCTTTAATCACTGCAGGCGTAATAAAAACTATGTTTATATTAGTTGGTATTATTGAACATTTGTAGGCTACTTAAAAGACCACTTAACTTTAATTAATTATTAATTTAACTGGCAGACAAGCATTGTCTGTAAATTTCGCAATATTTTGTCTTGATGTTACCCCTTATTACCCGGTGCGGCCACGCCCTTCTCTACCCATAATTGCTACGCCTCTGTGCAGAGGTTACAGTTATTTAACCTATTACAGTCAGGTGTTTCCGTTTAACACATTTATATAACAATTTGTAAAAGAAATCAGTTTTTTTTTTATATTTCGTTATACAAAACCAAAACAAAACTGTCCTTTTGTTTCGTTTTCAGGACTCCGATAAGATATTTGACATTAAAGAGTTTCAAGATTCTGGCAATTGGGGCGATAAAATGAATGAAAATGGTTTTTTCGATAAAAACAAGTATAAATTACAATTTAGAGTACAGAGAATCGACACCTCGGATAACCATGAATTTTGTTGTACAGTGGAATTTTTTAATTCCCAGGCAATCCACGAAATTACTAGAAGATGTGAAAATGTTAATGGTAAGTCAAGGCTAATTCATAAACACAAATAAAGAGAATGTGTAGTCATTTGAATGTTTAAGATTAACCTTCCATGTACCATTTTAGAAAAAAATACAGTGGCACATATGCAGTGGAAATTCAACACGATATTATTTGACTGGATATACATACATGATATGAATTTACCTTTGCAACCTTTCTATCCCTGCTTTATCTCTCTCTAACTCTCTCTCTCTCTCTCACTCTCGCTCTCACTCACTATATATATATATATATATATATATATATATATATATATATATATATATATATATACAGTGAAAAACACTTGCCCAAATGTCTTTTTACCGAGGGCAGTTATTTTCGAAAAGTCCTACAATCCATGTAACCGACACTCGCCCGAATGCAACAAATGCATAGATGTACATTTCCCGAACGGGACAAATAATAATTATTGATAATGTTAATATAATAGATTACCTAATTTTCTTTCACATCAAATATATATATATATATATATATATATATATATATATATATATACATACATACATACATATACAGAGAGAGAGAGATATAGATATGTGTGTGTGTGTGTTATTTCAATGTTGTTTAAGCTTGAAACATATATTATCGTTTTTTTCCTTGTTATCATCTGTACCAACAGTTGGTCAGAAAGCCATCCTTCATCCCAGTTTGGCCATGCCAGGAGAATCTGTTTCGGTATTCTGTGACGCTGACCTAGCCAGGATTCCCGTAGAAGTGTCTGATTTAGAATCTATCAAGTTAACGTGGAAAAGCGATGAATCAAACGAAACGTGCCTTTACGCCATTTCAAGAGACCCTGAAAATGATACAGTAATGTATTTATGTTTTATGCTGGCTTATGTATTGCATTGTAAAAAAAATATATAACTTGAACTATATGCTTTCTTCTTTACTCTTAAGTATTTAAATATCCATTTTGTGTAGTAAGCATTCTGTTTCCTCGAATTTTGTATTTAAATCATTATAAATTATTAATTCTGAGTCGAAATAGCTCAGTGGTGTTAGTTAGTGTGTGCATATCAACAGCTAAAAGGGGTCGGCGTGGTCGAGTCGGTAAAGCTCATGGTTGCTAAAGCAGGCTGAAATCGGAGTCAATGGCCTCAATGGCGCATAACCAATTGACAAGTAACGCTTAATTGTGTTGGAGGCGTGGTCGAGTCGGCAAAAAGCTCATGGTTGATAAATTAGAACAAAGTCTCGAGTTCAAACCCACTGGCAGATAAATCTCGATCCCCTTTAACACTAATAATTAAGAACGAAGAAGAAGAAGAAGAGAAGAACAGCCAAAATAACACTGTTTTAGGTATTTTACCCTAAGTCTGGTCATTATTTTACCTCTGTCATGGGTTTCGAACCTAAGAGGTTGTTTTTTTGTTTATAATATTTCTACACAGAAAGAGCACTGAAGGAAATCTCAAAGCACCAAAAAGGGATTTAAAGCATAGCTAATTTCGACATTTGGTTTAATAATTTATGTATCTATTATTCAGAGAAACCACTACACTATTATTATGTCTTTAAATGAGATTTGTTGTCAAAGTTTTATTCTCCATTGAGGAATACCCACATCAATTTGACACATACACAATGGACGTGCTCCAGCCACTATCACTTACCGCATCGCCTGTGTTCTGTTAGCCTGTAATAACATTACGTTATTTATTTATTGTTATGTTAACATTTTTTTTTAAATTTCTCAACCTCTAGAACATGTTAACTCAGATAAACAAGCGTAGTGGAAAACACACGTGGATATATATAAAAAGTGACCTACAACTAGCATCAAACATCGCTACAATAGACCGGTCTGCTTACATAGGGATCAATATCAGTGAGTTTCAACTCTCAGACTCTGGCTGGTTTTGTTGTGGTGCGGCCTACATCACGGATCTTAATATGAAGAGGTACAACCAAGGATGTCATTATTTATCAGGTAAATTTTATAAGTGTTTCTTCTTCTTCGTTCTTAACTTTTAGTGTTGGAAGAGATTCCCTCCAACACATTCAAGTATACGTGTCAAATGGTTATGCGCCATTGAGGTCATTCACTCCGATGTCAGCCTGCTTTTCGTTTTTGGATTTGCTTCAAGGCAGCAGTTGTTTGATTTTAGAGTGTTATCTCCTAGCAGAGTGGCCGTCCCCAGCTAATGAGCCTCATCTGCCCGAGTAAAAGTGTTCAACTTCCGATTATTGTCAAACACATGTCTAACCTTGTTTTAATATTACACCACTTCTTATGAAATCTAGACTCCATGTCATCAAATTTAGACAAACACACGTCTACTTATTTTAACATTAAACATCATATTTTATTAAATCTAGACAAACTCGGGTCTACCTTAATTTAAATTTAGCATAACACTATGAATTCATCAGCCACAAATACAATAGCACACAAAAAGGCACAGTTACAAAAATAAATAGAGTTTCAATTATAAGGTTCAATTGCTTCTACAGGCTTGAAAAGTCCTGTATTCAAACTAATTTTGTTTAAGAAATGTTAAAAAAGCGATCAAAATATAGTCACATTTTGAAAACTTAAAACTGTTTGGAAACCATCGATTACACTCATTTTCATATTTTTAGTATTGAATATAAGCCGATGAAGAGTAGTTGAGAATCATCTTATCAATTCAAATATTTTTTAAAAAAAACGAGTATAGAACCATGCCGGGTTTCTGAAAATGCATCCACCTATCTTAAAGTTATAGACTATTGAAAACAGAGGTCGCCGTGGTCGAGTCGATAAAGCTCATGGTTGCTAAACCGAAAAGTCTCGAGTTCGAACCCTCGGGCAGATGAGACTCGACAGCTATGGATAAAGGCTATTGAAGCAAATCCAAAAAGAAGTCGGAGTCAATGGTCTCAATGGCGCATAACAAGTTGACACGTATCCTTCATTGTAATGGAGGCGTGGTCGAGTTGGCTAAAGCTCATGGTTGATAAATTCGAAAAAGTCTCGAGTTCGATCCTTGTGGTAGATAAGGCTCGAGCCCTTCCAACACAAAAAATTAAGAACGAAGAAGAAGGAGAAAAACCGGCGTTTGATTATGTACCACTTCCGCTTACCGAGAATAGGCAAGAACTTGATTTAAAAAATACACAACCATTCGAGATATTACTTACAAAAGGGATTTCTGCTAACCAAATTAAACGAATAAATTACAAAAGTAAGATTGTCCGGATCCTAAAAGATGTAAAACGTCAAAAAACCGTTAGTAAAATCTCCATTTAGACTTTTTGTTACATCAATTATACTCGTATACGAGACGGTAAGGAGATGTTACTTATTCAGCACAATCATCATATTCCGCAATATTGTTTGTACAGAAAATATTGTCGTGGATCCTGAAGGTTGAGAAGTTTGATATTTCAACAAAATCGCATTGTACTTTGTGCACAATTATAATGCTACCTCTATTCTTTGGGTCTTGAGAATACCACTTTTTTGGTTAACTTTGCATACATAGGCAGGTTTGGTAAAAACTACATGTGTTAAGCGTGACACTTTAAAAAAAAAATGTTTTTGTTTTCTCTTTCAGATAATGGGACCACACATAGACTGCCGCCTTCTAAAAACTATACTGTTTCAGAGTATGTGGGGTTTGGTTTATTATTGTGTATTTTGGCGTGGGCCTATCATTACCTTCTTTAACAGTAAGTTTTTTTAATATTATTTTATGGCAAAAGACTTTTCTTTTATTAAATATTTTGATAATACAATAAATCTATACCAGTTACTGTATTGTTTTACTGTATACAAGCATATATTAAAAATGAATTACAGTTTAAAATATATTAATCGTTTTATAATGCACTTGCAGAATATACACGTATAGAATGTAGGGATACTACTATTTACTAATCTCTTTTTAAAAGAGATGTGGTGGTAGAGTGGTAGAGCACTCAATTACTGTCCCGAATGTCAATGTTCAATTAGTGAAAATACTAAAACTTCAAATAGATCCACTTTTTTATAATGATCTTCTCGAATACCTTTAAGACTATTCTCTCTCGTGTATATTAGATATTTTACTTATCTATGAAAATTCATCTATCTATTAGAAACAGTAGGCCTACGCAAGTTGTAGGCTTTTGAGAAACCGAAAGTAGAATAAGTTTCACTTACTTTGTAAGGGTTGTCGATCAACCTCTTAATTTACATTGTCTTTCCTTTATCACGGACTCCCAAATCCACTATTTTTCTTTCTTTCATTTTCTGATTTTTTTTTTTAAATGTGCGTTGATTTTAGAAATGTTTCACCCTCCTGTAATGGGTAACGATGTTTCTTACTAGATTTGAGCTCCTATCCAAGATTGATAACGCTAACAATTTTCTCGAAAGAACACACCATGTTGAACCCTAAGCTTGTACCTCTGGATAACAGCTAGTATCTACGCAGACTGAAGCACGAAGCAAGCAAAATCCGCAATTCCTCGGAATTCTTAAAATGGAAATAAAATGACAAACTAAATTTTTCTAAAGAAAATTGGCTGAAAAAAAAAAGTTTTCATGAATGTATCTAAAAATGATCTAGTACTTTAATAAATGTATATAAGTTGAAGGAACATAACATTTGTGAATGTAAACAGAACTTTTTTTTAAAATAATGAATTTTGTTTATTGAAATACGAAAACAAATTTTTAATTACTTTTTACTAACTCAATTGAATCGTTCAATACTTGTTTATGATTTCATTAATTATTTATTTAACAAAGACATCTCCTTTGAAGTAACTAATTTACAATTTGTATTAGATCTTTTCTTTTTTATAGTTACTGGTAGGTATCGCAATGTTATGTATTAATAATTGCTCTTCATTAGTGCAAGATGTATTTGTATTTCTGTTGGTCTGTTAAAAAATTATTTTGATAAATAAAAATGAAAGATGTATTTTTTTAATTATATATTAACAGATATACTATTAAGGTAAAATCTAAAATATTTATATTACACCATAAGTAATAGATCCTTGTGCTTTTCGATTGTTTATACTTGTACACCTAATTCCTATCTAAAATTTACACAAATAAAAAAATAAAACAATTTGTTTTTGTTATTTACTCTCTTGTTATTTACTCTCTTATTGTTCAGATTTTCAAAGCAATGTTTTTGTTAATAATATTGTTAAGTTTGTTTAATAAAATATTTACCTATTTATAATTATTCAAACACAAACAGACGAAAACTAGGTGATTCTCTTGTCTTTCCGATAAAAAAATAAGTTTTATATATTTCATTACAACACGTAGTTTGACGGTGATATTGATAATGTCATTATTGCCAATAAACAATAACAATGACAGAAGATGTTTATTGATTCTTTGTATTTTATGTATAGCAACATTTATTAATTGAAATTACCCAAAGTTTCCTTTTAACTTCTATTTCTGAATATTTTTCAAACAGATTTTATTCAAATCAAAATAGATTAATGACTTATGAGAAGTAACTTCGCTTTGTTGAATGGTGAAAAAAAAATTCGCTGTTATCCTCCCTACAATCCTTCAACATCCCTTGGTTGTTCTTCCCTGTAACGATGCTTAACTTTACACATATCTTTAAAAACACAAGCAATAGACTAGTAAAGTAGACAATCTTAAATCATCTTATTTCAAAAATTTAAAAACGTACTATGGGGTCATCCATAAATGACATCACGCTTTTTTTGAAGATTTTTACTTCCCCCCCTCCCCTCCGTCTCACGTAGTCACAAAAAGCCAGACCCCCCCCCCCTAAAATGACGTCACACTTCAGCCTACAACCCTTTCTCAAAATTGCAGTTGATTTTTTTTAAAAACATCAGATATGTTTCCAAAATCTTGTCTGATCTCTGTCTATATAGATTATTTTTATCAACTCATATTACAATTTATTAAAACAGTTTTTTTAAAACGCGAAATAACGTCTAAAATTCATTTTTAACATTGTTTTTTTATAATGCAAAAGTGTGAAGTCACACCATCTAACCCCCC